CGGGACCACACTTTGGAAATCACTAACCCAGCATAAGCAATACCAAAAAGGCAACGTTATTGAGTACACAGGGATTTTCTTGTATGTGTAACATCTCCATGGAGAGGATTTGATTCTTTGAAACACCTCCCTCCCTCCCTAGAGTGTGAATTCTACAACACTGCTTGATATTGCCTTGTATCACAAAATGAAAGCATTATCTCTGGAATCCTACAAGTGATGTGGTTTAGTCTCTTAAATCCTGCGGCTTCACAACTACTCAAATCTTAACTGCCGTTATATAAATATATATAAATTCTTTCTTTTTTCCTCCTGCAGCAGGACAGAAACACTGATATTACTTTCTATTGCTCTGAGTCATGTTTTTATTCAGTAACTACTAATTCGACTAATTTCTTTACCATTTCATTTCCCCCATGTTTATTCCAGCCATTGCAAAGGTAGGAATCCATTCTCTGTTATTTAAAATCAATTATCAATTGTATGGACTCTCTGGTAGAAGGAAAGTACAAATGCAGTATAACTTCAAGGTTGCATTAAAACAACTATGTCTTCAAATATTAAAATATCCAGAGAATGTTAACAACAGATCAAATAATTAATGCTGAAGTGATCAGCAGTGGTGGGAAGTTATTTAGTACATTTAATCAAATTAAAGCAATTAAATTTTATGTTACAATGTATTATTATTAAATTACTTTACTAATTAAGAATTCACACCAAAAGAATATAATGAGCTTAATGAGATAAATATATTCAAACCTATATTCAAAATAAATGTAACTTGTGCTATATACATATGAATGTATTATACAGTCAAACATGATACACTAATATATACAGTTAGAGTATAGTATGATACAATAGTTGGAAGTTAGAATTTAAAAGGCAGTAACAGTGGAAAATGTCTGATCTCAGTCAGTCCAGAGTTTTGTGGCCTGTGTTGCAAAAGCACGACGGCCTTGAGTCTCCAATCTTGATTTTGGAACGACCTAAACATCGGCTGATCTAAGATGGCGTGTGGAGTTAGTAAATCCTTGATATACACCAGGGACTTGGTTGTGTAAAATCTTTCATCTTTAAGATCTTTAGATACGTTCAATTAATTCTAATAACTTTACAAAATCTCATTGATAGATTGATCGTTACTGAAGTTGATCAATGCTCTGTCACACTGACAAGCGTTATCAATGTGACACAAAATGATGGACAGTGATAAGAGTCAAGAGTGAGCTAAAGAAGTGAGAGCAGGAACGGGGATATTATCCAGCTCATCAGTGCGCTCGTGCGCCGGTCTAATCCGCAGAGTAAAAAATGACCTTCCTTTGACCACCTTCATAATTACCAGATCTCATAGAGTCTAAATCTCCCTACCTCCAGTGGGGTAATTATCAGTGTGACTCACTGAAAAGGCAATTGAGACAGTGGTTTATGGACTCCCACCGTGGAACGTGAGGCAGAGCAGTAATGGGGAGCTTGTTTGTCCCCTCTCACCTCTCTTGTTAAAGAATGGCAGCTGTGTTTAGACCAGAGTAGTTCCTAAAAATACAAGGTGGGTCACATTGGACAATTCAATCAACTGCTGCCCGACAGGCTCCTGTGCACTTTCTGATGAGCTCTAAATTTTCAATAGAAAAGGCAATGCACATATTTCAATGACAACTATGAGAACTACTTCAAAAGCTTGATCCATATCTAATTTTTGATTTGTGGAATTTTTTTAAATATTCAAGTTCAGCATCTTCTTAAAAATTCACCTTTAGGTTAGTGTTGGACACCTTCCCTGAATACACCTGTACACAAACACAAAGGATGTGTAAGATAACACATAGGGAATAGCTGTAAACGTAGGTGTTGTGCGTCGAGAGGAAAACAAGGAGTCAAGCTTCGAATCAGCCCCGGAGAGAAAAGTGCTGTAATAGGAGGGTTGGCAGGGACTATACTGAGATAGCGCTGGTAATGAGAGAGCAGACTGCACCCCCACCCACCCCCAACCCTCTCACTTCTCAACCGCACAGGAAACAAAAATAGCATTTTGTCTGACGAATGTGCTAGCTTTGACCTAGCCTTTCGACCTCTGACAATCAGTCTCGCTTCGTCCTCCAGCACTTCAGAAGCCAGGACTGGGACAGTCAAGATAACAGTTGATTTTTTACTGTGGCTTGAAAAGCAAAGATGCTTTACAAGAGAGATGGCAGACAGTTTCTCAAAGCGTTGAGGTTGGAGGCCTCAGAGTTCTCAGTGCTGGTGTTTCGTCCTCCCAAATGATTATTGTTAAATGTTTAAATGCAGCACAAAATGCCACAGTTCAACTTGCATCTTACAATTAAGCTGCACAACTTCTCGCTATGGCTCATTTCTCATTATAAACATTAACATAGGCGAGTTGTGACAACACTGAAAGTGGGACCGTTGCTCTTACACCCCTCGGGCGAGATGACTAAGTGGGAGCTCTGCTTGCATCGCAGGCGGAGGACGAGTGAATATGAGACACAACAAAGAGACAGTGGGAGATATAATGAGCACTATAGGATCCCGGCACCCTTTTGCCCTCTCTCCATCATAAGTGAAGCTCCCACTCTCATCCTCGGCCCTGTGTCTGCTGGAGGAAGGAGCACAAACAATTAGCTGAGACAAGCCGTTTGGATTATGTGCTCAACCAAAGCAATCAGACAGCTGTGGTTAAAAGAATGAGCTTCAAAATGCCAGTTGCCCAGTGAGAGAGTAAGGGAGGGTCAGTGGTCCTGACAGTCTTAACAAGATGACAGAATTTATAAAGCACTGCTGTTAAAGAATATAGTTACCTGCGGTGTAGCCCTTATAATAAGGCCACATGGGGCTTCTTCCATATTCCCTCTGTATTTGTTTTCTTTTGCCTCATATTCTTTTGTTGTGCCTCTTGTTCCTTGGCGTAATGGTTGGCGCTGGAGGAAATTCTCCAATCGTCTTTGATCTTCGCCTGGTTTCGATAATTTTTTGACAGAAATCTCATTTTGCTCCCCCTTTTGTTTTCTCCGTCTTTGTTCCATTTTTTTTTATTCTGTCTTTAAATGGGGCTCAACATTTTGTCATTGTGAAGTTGCAAAGGAAAAGAGCCGGTCCTGTCAGCGGCTCAGCACTTGCTAGACAACTTGCCCCAACATTTCAAGCGAGGATTGGACTCTCGCCGTTTGCACAGATGATATATAATTCATGGTGGGGGTGTGAGAGAGGTGTCAATGTGTCAGGAGGTATAGAAGAAATGTAAAAGTGTACTGTTTACTGGCCAACAGACGCTGGCTTTATTTTGCTGAGCTTCTTCTGCAGAGTGAGGAAAGAGGATGATGATCTGATCTTCATCAAATGTTCATCTGTGCCTGTCCCAGAGTCGTAGTGGCCACACCAATCAAAGACTTGTCTGCCCCGATGTTTTATTCATATTTTATGAGACAACCATACTTAAATAATTTAAGTGCATTGATTCTGTGTGTATACAAGCTTGTCTATGCGAGTGTTTAGCTGCATTATCGATGGATGTTTGCAAATGTTCTTCTGAACCTGTTTTGTGAATCAGTGTTCTAACTTATTTTGACAGTTAACTGCGTATATGATGCACGATTTAAAATCTTTTACATTAAACACATCAATAACAATTCATTAAAAAATGTATGTACTTTTATTGTTTTATTGCACTTTAGAGTAGGTTGTACACTCAGAAGAACTGCCCAAACCAAATCTGTTATAATGGATAAAGAGAGATTTGAACAACCAATGAGTGTAGAAAAAATTATTCTCCTCTGTATAATTTAATGAGTTAATTTTTTAAACTTTTAGTTATTTGATTATTTAGTTTTTAACAAAAGCCACGTAAACTAACAATATATTAAAAATGTTGTTTTAGGAAGTTATTGGTACATAAGTACACAGGACTGACCCTCTCTAAAGCCCATGTTTGTGTTGTTCATACTTACTATTGTACTGTAGAAATATGGTGGTCTCAGTGAAAGAAGACTCGACCTTTGTGTAGAAAAAAAGGCTAATTTTAAATTAACGTAAAGAAACACAATTATCATTATTATATTCTATTTCTGCCAGTAGATAAATAAGGTAAATCCTTCACACTGGTCCTTTAAAAAGTTTTAGTTTTGGCTGACAAGAAAAAGAAGAACACTACTTTCCATCATCCACAGATGGAAACTCGGTTTGGACTTTCTTCTTTTTAATCTGTGAAGGTTAGCTTAGATGTTGTTTTTCAGTAGAATTCTCCACACATCATATTATTGTTGATACCCTTTGTTGGGCATTATTTGTTGTATATGTTCTGACATTTTTTTCCTGACATTGAAACACAAAACACTGCTTTCAGATATTTTTACAATTATCTTTGATCATATTTTAAATCTAAATTCTGGGTCCATAGAAGTATCTGCATGCTTGTGTGGCTGCAGACTGTTCTGCTTCAGTCTGAGTGTTAACATTTTTTTTCTTCTTTTTTTAACACTGTAAAATTTATAAGCATTTAAATGTAGAAATTAGGTTCTAATGGTGTGCCATTATTGGAGCCAATTAGTTAATGGGTTTATTTCTGAACTCTTGCAGTGAAGATGGATGTCTATTTCCTATGAGATTTTAAACCATTAAACCAAAGATTCTGACATTCTCCAAGTGACAATGAAGACTTTTGGCTCTAGAGAGAGCAATTATATCAGTCAGGCTTGATAGCTTTGTCCTCCAACTAGTGAAATTAAATTCACTGAGTCTATCATGCAGCCTAAAAACCCTGGAGGACCTTGTTGTGGCTCCATGCAATTTACATCTATCTCTCACTATTCACCCTATGCATCCCACACCTCCATGTGTACATGTGTTTCTATCTGAGGTGTGAGCATATGCTTGAAATAATGAGAGCACTTGTCATGTTGTCAGTCCAAACTAATTTGTGTTTGTTGAACTCTATATGAAGAGTTCAGGTCTCATGCAAAAAGAAGACGCAAAACAACTTGCTGTCGTTTCATCAACAGCTACCTCATCACTCAACTCCCAACTCCAGCACCTGCAGCAGCTCCAACAGATGCAGCAGCACCACCACCACCAGCAGCAGCAGCAACAGCAGCATCAGCAGCAACAGCAGCAGCAACACCATCACAAACAGACTCACTCCCACACCCAGAATCAACTGCCATCCCAACATCACATGACCCAACCCAACCAGCATCAGCAGACCTCGGTCCCATCTCCAGGCTCTGCCTGCTCCTCCACCTCTGGACAGCCGCAGCAGTCTCCACAACACCGACCAAACCAGTCGCCAGTCCGCAGCCTCCCGTCTCCCGTCACCCCACCCATGCCTTTGCCGGTAAGTCAACATTGATAATGTCAAGCACCAATAGTCTTTTTTTTCTTGAATACATATTCTGACACTTTTCATGGAATCATCCTCACACTGATCACACATAGTGATTTTCTTTGGTTTTTGAATATCGGCAATCTTCAGTATTTTACCTCTCAGCAAGAAGGCTTTTTATCTTTCTGCATGCATTTTCAGGTTCTATCCAACCAGTCCACCAGTATTCATCGTGAAAATGATCCAGTATAGTGTATCATCAGCAATACTTTCTGCATTTTCACATGTAAATGGTATCCATGTCAACTATTATACACATGTGACTCTCAGAAATAATCAGGTACTTGTTTCCTATTCATATGAATTTTTCATGGACATTGAATGAGCTGTATTATGAGCAGAATAAGAAAGCCAAAGTATTACTCCTGATGTTAAACTAATAATGCACTAAATCCAAGTGCAGAAATTAGATACTTAAAAAGATAATATGATGCTCCACTTAAAGAGTGGAGTGTACGTCTGAATCGTGTCATTGAAGATGGTGTGATTTTTGGCAGGTCAACCTTGAGAAAAACGCCTAAGCGGGATACACAGTGCTTGATTTTCTGTTAGTACTTGATCTTTATCAAGTAGCCGTGTTTGAATGGAGGCTGACAGGTCTTCTGTCTATGTGCTGCTATTAGAATATGCATCTTGTTGCTGAAGCCTTGATGCACTTTCATCAAACCTCACGACCAAAGAAGCAAAGATTCACATCCTCTGCCTGCAGATTCAGTCGACATTCTGAGGTTATCTTTTCTAGCTGTAATCAGTCTCTTAATCTTTGCTGCTCTTCCTCCTCAACCCCCTTTTTAGTCACTTTGTCTGTCCATCCATCTCCGCCCTTCTGTCCGTCTTGCTGTCACTGTGTGACGATAATAACCTATTTTATATCCCTGTGGTTTCATTTCTGGTCGAGTCTGGCCAGGGTCGCCTTTCTGTCCCTGGCCACATTCATCAGCGTCAGACCCTTATTGGGTTGTGGTGCAACCTTCTTTATGGCCAGGATGAGTTGGGCTATTTGTTTCCCCCCATGCTGCTCTCTCCGGCCCTGTCACGGCCTAGTGAGACTCAGCAGGAAAAACAGTCTCTGGATTTAATGGGCTCCAAAGGATAGTCGCTACATCGCAGCAAACACACTGTCCACTCTAAGTGTGGATCCTGACCAACATACAAATTCACACATTGAGCTTGCATTAGGCAGCATCCATAGACTTTAGGTACAAGACACACTGCAACCCGACTCTCCCTCTTATAAGTGTTTGATTTTCCAGGAAACACACTTTGTTAAATGTGTAAGAATTTGTGAATATCATTCTGTGACACAGGGTCATTTTAAGATTGAGACCCTGAGCTTTATATAGATGGTTGACTTCTAAAAGAAGCAGTGCAGCTGATTATGATGACAGGACAGACCTCCCTTGAGGGGGGCCGAAGGGGCCACATCAGGTATCATTAAGATATTGGCTCATCAAATGGGATTATGGAAAGTGTGTGTGTGTGTGTGTGTGTGTGTGTGTGTGTGTGTGTGTGTGTGTGGGAGAATCAGAATGGCAATAAAAGGTTTAGTTTCTCTGGGTCAATGCTGGGGTCATCAAAAAGTGTGTCACCCAGTGAGGATCCTGCCCAAGGACAGGCCGTGGCCTCAGCAACCACTCAAGGCTGCAATAGGATTTAAACAGCGGCTCCACCTCTTGGGTCAGTGATTGGATTTTCAGTTCCAGAGTCACTGAGCACCTCATTGGTTAATTCAAAGCAGAAGTTTTTAATTTTGGGAAGAGGCCCAGAGTAAAGAGTTTATCCCAAACACATGTGAAGTGTCACCATTATTTTCCTTTTGTATGTTTTAATTGAAGACAGAGAAGGGCATTTCTGCGGTTTCCAAAATTTGCCCAAAGGAACTGGTCTCTGCAGTAAAGTCGAGTCATAATTACCATTATACAATCAGCATTACACAGATAACACCCCTATTTCCTTCTGTCATTATTCAGACGTTCAGAATCAGCCAGCCATTGAACTATTTGCTGAAAATACAGTGCAGAGCTGCTGAGAGACAAACACTCATTATGTTCCAATTAATGTCCCATTGTAATTCTCCTCTCATGGGAGGTGTATGATATTCTTTGCAAACTAATAGTGAGGAAATCCTGAGCATTCATTACATCCCTCGTGTTTATAGTGTTTGGTGTTTTTAATTTGTGAAACAGAATTCATTAATTAATAACCCTATTAGAATACAAATCACACCACAACAGGCTGTGTCCCCTTGAGTCAGCGGTCTAAACTCAGATTAGTGTGGCTTATTTGTTTTAATGGACTAACAGTGCAATACTTTTCTACCCTGCAGTCCGCACCCACTCCACTCACTCTATGAAGAGTACAGTGAAATGCAGCCTGTAGCTGCCTGGAATAGCCACCACAGTGATGACAAATAGACGAGGAGAGATTATGAAATTTGCTTAAGTGTGTTAATGTGCTGATTGCGGGAGCCCGCTGGATTTTGCTGGAAGTTGATTGATTAGAGCTGCAGGTTTTCTCCACGCCCGGAGAGCTCAGGGATTTGACGGGGTAAAAGCGCTCGCCAAGTCTGTTACACCGGAATTGATCTTAATTAGATCTGAAAGACCTGCCACAGCAGAATGGTCGCGGCGATTAAAATGAAAAACAGGAGAAATTACTGATCAAATTAATCATAATGTCGGGCTACAGCTGTAGGTCTGGTGTAATTTGCCACTCCAGTGAGTTACATCAGCCCAGGCAGGGAGAGGAGCGGCAGTACATACTGATCTGTGGCAGCGGGAAGCTTAGGCCAGCCTATCAACTCTCTTATTCCAGTTTGTACGCACAGGCCCTCCTGACCCTGCTGCGCCATCCAGTGGAGCCCCGACATCTCTCTCTCTCTCTCTGTGGCTCTGGTCTAATTAGTTGCTTTTTATTGCCTTTTTTTTTCTTCTGTTATGTCTCACTCCATCCAGGAACTGCATCTTCTGCCACACGGCACTGTCTCTCTGCTGTTGTTGTCATGGCTGTCTTGTCACTAGCGTGTTGTGTGTTCACTAATAGCCTCTGACCTTGGGCCACTGTCTGGCTGGCTGGTTTTCAGAGGGCCTGGTGGAGATGCGTCCTGTCTTCCTCCTCTGTCAGACTCCTGCCGTCTGTCTGTATGTCTGTCTTTTGCTCCCCTTCGCAGTCGTCTCCTTGATCGCTGTCAGAGCCTCACACTGGGCCTGTCCACTCTCCAGCCGCACACTCATAGGGGTAATTACAGCCTAGGGGCCTGCCTCCAATCCCTGTGCTCCACAATTTACCACCAAAGCGTCCACAGACATCTCTCTTCTTCCCCACTGCACCCCGACATCACAGGACCGCAGGGCCTCAGACCCACAAGTGCTGCAATTACCTGAACCTCTTCTCTATCCTTTTCTCTCTCTCCCTTCTCTCTTTTCAATCTCTCCCTTCTGCACCCCTTTCTACCCCTTGGCTCCCTCACTATTCCCTGGCAATCAGCCTTCATTAGAAGCCTCTGGTGAAAGCCCATCGTCACCAAGGTCAGCAGCTGCCAACCACAGCGGCCTTTCAGAGGCCTGGCTGTCTGCACTCTCCATCTCTTCTCACCTCCTTGCCATCTTCCCCTCTCCTCCCTCACCTCCCTCCTCTCCGCTCACTGCACCATCCTCCTCAAGTCTTGGGCCCCATCTCTGCTGCTTTTGTCTCCAGCTGAGGCCACTTCAGACGCTCGTGTCATTGGTTTCCGCTGCAGTGCACTTTTACTTATGTCAACTGCCGTTAAAATCACCACTGTCCAATTTGCTCCTAATGTCTCTCTCTTTATGGGCGCTGGGTGTCTCCCCCATTATATTAACATGTGTATTAAATGAGCCTTGCACATCGATTAATTGATTTTCCAGATCAGCTCCACATCTTGTCAATTTAGCGAAACGGGCCGCTGTCATTCTGCAGGGTATTAAATCAAAATTAAAATGACATGCTCAAATGTGGACCCAATGGCTTATACTGTGCTTGTCAGTGAAACTGTCAACGCTTACGTGGAGGGAAGAGTCCATTATCTCTTGTATGTTTCATTACCTGACTGTGGTACCTCTTTCAACTGAGACTAACATTTTTTAAATGTCACAAAATTATGTCTGCTAATTGGCAGTTGTTCGGTATGAGTTCTTTTATTTGAGTGCACTGTCATAGCGACCTTTTATTACAATGGAGGTCGAGTTCTTCTCATTCTCAAATTTAATATATTTTTTAGAATAATTCTTTAACTTTTACTGTTTGTCGGTAAAAATAATACTAGAATTTGTGTGATTAAGACTTTGAAAATCATTGTATCATGATAGGAGATAAGATTTACAGGAAAAATAATGAACTAATCAGAAGAGAGTATACCTCTGTCAAAGCCCTACAGTCCCCTTCGATTCAATCAAGCCGCACAAAATCCGGATCTGCACTAATGTGTATTCCCTGATCCATTCCGAATCCACCAAGTTTCATGGAAATGTAATAATTAATAATTAAGTAATTAAGTCAAGATCATTATTTATTAGTCTCATAAATGGGAAATTAAGTGATTGAACAGGGGAGTGGGGGTGGCAGTGCTGTTCATCATCTCTAAAATTCTTTAACAGTGGCTTTGGTAAAGTGCTGTTCCTCTATCTCCAAATAAAGCAGGAAATAATTTGAGCACACCTAAGCCTAAAGCATTCTCACATCTTACCATTATCCAAGCTAACACCTGTTTCTAAATCACATTTTTTAATAAGACCCTTAAATATGTATAAATGGTATGAGGTGCCAGACTGTGTAAATGGCTGCTGCTGGTGCTGGTGGTGATGACGATGATGGCTGTGTGGTTCAGAGCATGAACAGGCCCCTCTGCTCTCCAGCAGCTCAGCCCATGCCTCTTATTAATGCACAGGAGATCCAGCTCTTAAGAAGGCAGAAAATTGCCTTACATAACAAGC